GGCCGGGGGGGGGGGCGATTGACCGTGCCTGAGGCGGCCTGGTATGTACTAGTGGACGGTGCGCACTAGGGTGCATCGGGGGCGCTCCGCGGGGGGTGCAGAATGGGCAGACGACAGGCGATGGAAGGGCAGGGTGTGGGCTGCGTGCCCGAAAGCGGGAGCGGGGGTGCGAGTGCGTTTGCCGAGTAGGGACGCTGCGATCGGGCGTGGTGGACACGTCATCGGAATTGTGTCTGGCGAGGCGAGGGCGGGGGGCGAATCGGGTGAAGGGGGGATGTCAGCGCCCGGGACGGAGGGATGCGAGCAGATCTCGGACATTGCATAATCTGGCTGCGTGCACGGCAGGGGACGGCGGGCAGCTTGGCGGGGAGCGGGTGCTGTGCTCGGCCGTCCGCACGGTGCGGAGGCTTGGCCAGGCGAGGAGAGACGCGGGGGGATCGAGATAGCGGGGCTACGGGGCTCGGCAGAGGGGCGGCGCGAGTGCTGCACTTGGGCGCGACGGAAGCCTTGGCGAGAGAGGTGAGGGAGAGACGGGTGCAGTCGCGCCGGGACAAGAGCGTTGGCGGCGATCATGCACATGGCCGAGTCGCTGCTGCTTGCGGACTAGCGCCTGCCCAGCTCCCCTGTTTGGCCCTGTTTGCTCCCATGGCGTCAGGGTCACCTCGCCCTCTGCAGAGAACGTTCCGGCTCCTTCGACCCCAGCCCAGCATCGTCGCAGGAGGACGGGGCTCGCGTCGAACAATGCCATCGTGTCCCCATAAGAGACGCGGGACGAGCGCGGCCGCTGCACCAGCCCATCCCGCAGCACTCGAAATTCCATCCCAATGTCCTTCTCCCAGTTCTACTACGACCCCTTTGCAGAGTTCAACCGCATGCTCGACGATGCCCTCACCGAACGCCGAGACAGCCCCTCCCAGGGTCAGCTCCAGCGCCGCGCAGCCGGCCCAGTCCGTGCGGCATGGCCCAAGTAAGCACCAGGCCCCCAATAATCAACACACACAGCAAAAGCTCACCTCCACTGGCAACCCAGCATGGACGTGCACGAGGACGCCCAGAACAACCTCGTCGAGGCGACGTTCGAGCTCCCCGGACTGAAGAAAGAGGACGTCACCATCGACGTCCAGAACAACAGGCTCACCGTCTCTGGCGAGAGCACCCAGTCCACCGAAAAGGACGACGCCGGCTACGCCATTCGCGAGAGGCGCCACGGAAAGTTCTCCAGGGCGCTGCAGCTGCCGGCCGGCATCAACGTTAGTGCACTTGGCATTACCTAGACGGCCATGCGGCTCTGTGCTAACCCTTCTCTCCAGACAAACGATATCAAAGCGTCTATGAACGACGGCGTTCTGACCGTCGTATTCCCTAGGGCTGCGCCAAAGGAAGGCCCCAAGAAGATCACCGTCGCCTGAATGGGGGGCTGTGGATCCATCGCAGCATTCGTCAATCAGAAGAGTCTTTGCGCGAGATGTGTGTCAGTAGCCATAGTCGTTTCCCTCTGCCTCGAGCCATGTACGATAGTTCATAACCGTTGATTTTCTTTCAAAAAAAAAACAATGTTTTTTTTTTCCGTGCCGCATTAGCAACCTGTTCTGAACTCGAGAATTGGGGGCACGTACACGTGATGATCCGCAAAGAACGCGACGCAGGCGCGTCGGATATGATGTCACGAGCCGCCTAGATTCAATTACCCCACATCGTCTCGTATCCTGGAACCCGACCGACCTTTGTCGCGTCCCAGAACACCGCATCATGCCTACGACTCGCAGACAAGCTGCTCTCCTCGAGCACGACGTTTCCGCTCTCCAGGAAAACAAGGACACCCGCTCCACGCCCGCACATAAAAAGCAAGAAGCAAAACCGAGCAACACCGTCCGCGAGGCGCCAGCCACCGCAGGGAGAAAACACGAAGCAGATCAAGAGGACAACAACGAGGGACAGCGGACGGACCAGGAACCTCCGACAAAGAAACCCAAGACGGAAGAGTCTCACGACAATAAAGCAAAGGGAGAGACCGGAAAGCACGCCGACGCTGGTCGACAAGAGTCCGAGAGAAAGCTGCCAAAAGACGTTAGCGAGGAGGATCACCCAGCTTCACATTCGTATCAGACCGGTGTGCCATCATCTTGGCCCGCAGATAGGCAGACGCTCACGCAGGCCACGCAGGAACCATCGACCGTGGGCATGTCTACTTTTTCTACCGCCCCAAGGTCGAGCTGGAGGCGGCGCACTCGCGCGACGACGTGCAGCGCTTCTACATGCTGCTCGTCCCCCGCCCGCCCGAGTTCAGCACCGCGGCGGGACAGCACGCCGCCGGAGACAGCACCGACGGCGACGGCGGGGAGATGGCGCTCGTTTCTGAGGGCGCAGATGCGGTGCCTGCGGCAGAGCCCACAGACCAGAAGCACAAGAATTTCCGCCTCATCGTACTGGGGAAGAAGGGCTTACCCGACCCCGAAAAGGGGCGGGGCAGGAGCAACGTCTTCTGGGGGACCATTGTCACCGCGGGCAGCGACCTGCGGAAATTGCAGGACGGGCTTGGCCCGCGGCAGTACGAGACAAAAACACGGGGTGAGCCAGTCTATCAGATGCCGGGCCCACATCGTTCTTGGCACTCACCCTAGAAACGTGCGCTGATCCGTCCCGGCTCTGCGCGGAATCCACGCTGCAGGGACGCGCCACCAGAGCGCCGCACGCCTCGCCGCACGCGGCGCGTACGCCATCGTCAACAGGGACGCACGCACGCCCTCGCAGCGCGAGACCCACTTCGGGTATCGCCTCTCGCACCCGGCATCTGCCCATTTTGGCGAGGTGCAGGCCGAGCTCGGTCTCTGCCCGGCATCGTCGTTTGTGATGCAGGTGAAGAACCCGCTTGCGCCGCCCACGGGCCCGGGACGCGTCCGACTCGCGAAGAGCAGGACGGTGGACTATCCCGACAGGATCATGCACGAGGTCTTTGGAAAAGGCGGGCGCAGGGGCAAGGAGAACTTTGGGCTGCGCTTCGCCAGCGCGGAGAGACGAGAAATGCTCGAGTATGAGGGCGTAGAACTCCTTTTCATCGCCGCGCGCAGTGGGGACGAAGGGCTGGAGGAGAGCCTGGGGGAGGGAAGAGGAACAGGTGTGTAGACGTCGTCGTCGGTATTTCACGTCCACTGACCCCGGGTGACCGCAGCATTATGCGAAGCGGAAGAGAGAGAAGGACACGAGGCTGTCCAACAGATTTTCGAGGAGCTCGCCATGGATATGGATAAGATACCGAGTGACCCCCTGGAAGGAATTTGGGCATGAAGCAGAGTCTGTCGTGTAATCGTGATATCGATCGGACTCACCTTGTGTAATAGTATAATAACGTCCCTAGCCGTAACATGCACTTGCTCCCGGGTTTGCTGGACACCGTCAAAGACCATCGACGAAACAGTCAGCATGCCTGGCAGTACAACACAATTCATTATAGATACACAACATACAAAACCTCACGGTCCTAGATCGGAAATAAGTTACAACGTTATGCGGTCAAATTCGACAGTGTTATGATTGAGGTTCTGCTTCATCGGCGTCATCGTTAATCCTCAAGACCTTTACCCATTCCCGGTAGTTAAAGTTGCCCTGCTTGTCGGTGAACGGACCCTTCAAGAATTTATCTATCTGCTCCGATGCGTCAAAACACGCGAGCAGCCACAGAGTCGCGGACGCGGACTCACCTCCCGCTGATCCATCCGCTCGCCCACGTCGCTCAGCCACTTTCTGATATCGTCGCACTTCACGATGCCCGAGTCGTTCTCGTCGAAGCATTCGAACGCCTCCAGGAGCTCGGCCTCGGTGTCAAAGTCGTAGAGGTGCTCGCCCATCATGGTGAGGAACATCGGAAAGGTAATCCCCCGCGCGCCCCCCGCGGCGTCCGGCTCGGTCGACGGCAGCCGCGAGTGCAGGCCACTGCCGCGCCTGTTCCCCGGCCGGTCCGCCAGGAGGTCGTCGACCGTGGCCTTGGACGGGGTGATGCCTGCGGGACACGGGGCGGGGCGCAGCTCAGGACGGTGCTCGGGACGGGACGGCGGCGGGCGCACCTAGGCTAGTGAAGACGTGCTTCAGATCCTGCTCGTTGACGACGCCGTCCCCGTCGTTGTCGATCAGCGAGAACGCCTCGCGGAACTGCTGGATCTGGGGCGGCGAGAAGAGCGAGAAGACGCCAGAGGGCTCGCGGCGCTGCCGGGATCGCTGCGCCTTGGAGAGCTTGGTCGGCGTGCCCGCTGGAGTGGTGCTGGGGGAGAGGAAGTCTGGGTATCGAGACATGGCCGCGAAGAGACGGGGTGGACGAGGGCGGCAGGCGCGAAACCGCGGTTGGATTCGACGCCACAGCTCACGCGCACGTGTTGGACGCGACGCCGCAGATTCAAATTGTGTTATGACTGGCATTGACGGTCGCCAAATTCAGACGAGTCGGCTTACAATGTTCTGCGTGTCTATTACGCATAAATATTATGGTTCCGGTTCCACAGGTGGCTGCCGCGTCCAAATTTGAGACCGAAGGATGTGAGGCGTGCCGCCGGGACGACACCGTGAAGCAGATTTGCACAATGCCTGGGTGGACATCACACGCATTCTCGATGGAAGCCGCTTATTCGGGATAATTGGAATCAATGCTCGCAGCATTCATATCATGATCATCGCGTCAGCTCCAGACAAGGATGGACGATGCTTCCCGTCGAAGAAAAGGCCCAAGAACAAGCGATAACATGACAACCCCGTTGGATCGGTAGCCCCAAGCACACATACACACAATGGACCGCATCGCGATGGTGCAGCTTGGGCCGGTGACGGAACCATGACGACGGCGTTGAGTGCCGCATTTGGGCGGAAGTCAACAAGGCCACACATGGCGGCGAGCGCTCGGACCGAATCGTTGAAGATGAAGGCGCGAAAGTGTGGCTTGTCCATGAACACCCTTCCGGCCCCCGCTCGCCTTCATGTCGTCCCCAACTGAATTATTCCTTCCGCCCGACTTTCCCTACCCCATCAGGGTCGTCGCCCGCGCTGTTGAGCCGTCCGCCAACGTTGCCCGTGGATCCCGCCTCCTCAGCTACTCTTTCACGCACACAACCCCCGATGCCCAGTCTGAGCTCCGCTTCGGCACCTGGGACAGCGCCATCGAGGGCACGGTCGATAAATGGGTATTTAAGCCAGGGGAGACCGTCTCTGCGCGTAAAGCAAGGGAGCTGCCAGCTATCTACATCACCGAGCCTTGCAAACATGGCGTGCAGCTTGGTGGCCTATGTGCGTTGTGCGGGAAGGACATGACCGAGTACGTGATCTCCGCCGTCCCACGTATACTGGGGATGCTCATCTGCGCTGCAGCTACGACTATACGGGATTCTCGGACACGTCCCGCGCATCAATCCAAATGACTCACCTGGCCAACGGTCCGCTCGTGTCCTTGGAAGAGGCGCAGAGGATCGAACAGGAAACAGCTCAGCATCTGCTCGAGTGGCGCAAGCTTTCTCTTATAGTCGACCTTGATCAGACGATCGTCCACGCCACAGTCGACCCTACCGTCGGCGAGTGGATTGCCGAGGGTGAGGCCTGGGAGACTCGTCACACCCAGAAGAAAGAGCCCACAGACGACAAAGAACCAGACTCTGACGCCACGGTATCTGATCCTGATGACGAAGTCAATCCCAACTGGGAGGCACTCAAGGATGTCAGGAAATTCCGACTGGGTCCTGAGGCCCTCGGGCAGCCGTCGTTCCGAGGTCCCAGAGGGAAGGGAAAAGATAAAGCTATCGAGAATGAAGGATGTATGTACTATATTAAACCTCGGTGAGTGCAGTGTCACCGCATATACGTGGGTCCCCCCCCC